ATTCTCTGTCTCGGATCTTTTATTCTGCAAACAGACTTGGATCATTTGTTCTTCCCAATTTTTTATCTGTTTTATCCAAATTGCCTATTTTGGTATATCCACGTCAGAAGATTAAAATCTTTCGGCATAATTATTCTTCCATATGTCTGTAGTACTTGAACTTGTGTCAGCATTCAGGGCCAAAGTTACTTACATAATTCAAGATGCTCAACATGATAGTTCAAAAATTGTTATGAAAATTATAAACACATGAAGGAGCACAAGAAACAGTGGTCTGCTGACACCACATTCAACCCATTAGCATTTTTTTTCAAATTCTTGTGGTGCGGTTAGTCACTTAGTATTTAGGCTGCAAGTGCAGCTTTTGTACGAGATCCAGGTGATAAGTGGGGTAGTGAAGCACTGAAGTTCTTGGAGAGAAACCTGCATGTTGCCAGTGTGGGCTGCCCCATGTGTGTTTGTTATGGTAAGAGGCTGGTTACCAATGGGCCGAGCTATGGCACGGCCTGATCCATTGGCATATTTTGATGGCTTGAGATGTTTACCAATTAGGGTTATGTTAGTTATTTGACAGTTGTGATTTTCCATAAATTGAAAAGCGTCTTGATTTACTTGTAAGACTGAAAATGTAGCAATCCTGCATAGATATTTTTGTGATTATTCTGAGGCATTTGACTTGATGTGTTACAATGCCAATGGGTTAAATATAGTGAATACATAAAAATAAATATGTATGTGTTTAAAAGATTCATTGTATCCTTTCATACGTGCCTCATGTGGAGGAAAATATTATTTGAAACTTTTACATGATGAAAAACATTTAGGAGTTATCAAAACTGACAAAAGAAGAAAGTAAGAATATGTCAAGAGTTCATAACAATGCTGTAAAATGTACAACAATATAAATTTTTCTTTAGTAATTGTGCTTTCCACCTAAAAGTATCCAAGAATTAAACACTGTAATGTATTTCCCACATAGTTCTGTTAACAACAAATTATTTGAGAAAGAATAATACACATGAAGATAATGAGTATTGTCTGCAGAAAGCATACTCCATTTACTTCTGTATCTGCTATCCTGGAACTACGGGTATGGCAACTTATACTGTATCATTCTAATACAAGTGATTCACATTGAGGAGGCCCTGAATTACTAATTATAAATCAGAATAATTTACCAATGAAAACCAAACCTGGCAAGCACATGGTATGGTAGATGTCCAACTGGAGACATAGGTTAACATAATGCTCCATGTCTGTGATTGTAGCCAGCATGGCAGGAGAGTTTGTAGCAGTGTTACTGTAATGGAAATGGTGTGAATTGGGCAGGCTGGCACCAGACCAGTGTTATCAAGTTTCATTTCCATCAGTATATCATTGCGTGATTTATAATTACTATTTTTGAGTCTCCTATGAGTGAGTCACTCTATAGTTCAGTGCTTAATTACATTATAACGCACAACATCCATCCGTACCTACAATATTATTCACATGTAGTTGTATAACATTTTCTTTTAAAATTGATATGTACACACACACACATATTGTAGCACATAATTTTGGACATATCCAGGAAATGGTTAGTACAGTTATTGTATTTATTTGTATTTTTATTATTATGATATAATACTAGGATTTGGTAACGCAATAAAGCATACTTACAGGTTTATTCTTATTTACCTTGGCAATAACATAGTATATCATGTTATGTTTCTCTGAAACAAGAAATGACATACCTTTGAGTTATGTACATACCCACACACACTTTCATTTACACAGTGATATGTTTATCTACATTAGACATCAGGCTGTAAATCCATTCAACAAGGAATGAATTAATAATATTTTACATTGAAACTCCCATTTAATTTTCCTTGATGTAAGGTTATCCCTCATTTATCTTCCATCTTCAGTGATCCCAAGTCAATGACCTTAGCATTAAATTTTCTCCAGTCAAGATTTTCCTTAGTTTCATTTCAGAACTTTTGTTCTCCAAGGAAACCTGAAGTGGTAGTTTCACTGTAATAAGTTAAAATTAAATGTATAAGTATTTAAATGAATTTACAATAAATGAGCAATAAGTCTGGATTTCATAAACTTTTACAGTGAGTGAACATGAACAATGAGGAAAAAAGAAGTAACTAGTGTTATGTGTTGGAATTTGTGTTATAGTTCCATCTATTGCAACTATGTTTCTTTTCCCCCTTTAGTGTCGTTTGTAGACGTTAAGAGGATGAAGAAATTCATTTGAGATTGTGATATGGCCCAACATATTCAAAGCTCTAGGTGTGATACTTTGGACACTCATGTGCAATACCATCTGAACAAATCACAGTTTGTCTTCCATTGTTCCTTGAGTAAGAATCATGGAAATTGTGCAGAATATTTAACATGTGCTTATACTAATTTTATCTTAGGCTTCATCTGTAGTTACACCAAGTGAACCCTCTGCTGTCTTCTGAGATGTGATGCTATGTAGTCATTACCAGACTACGCGGTATCACGTCCCAGAACACGGTAATATTTGTAGCTGCTGCTGTGAGAATATCGAAATCCTATTTGTTTATTGTAACAGAAGGGCTATGCCGTAGTTCAGGCCGTCACCAGCCTCTCTCTCAAAAAGCCTTGGTTCAATCCCAGGGCAGTCTGTGTGAGATTTGTGGTGAGTAAAGTGACAGTGGGGCATGTGTTTCTCTGAGTACTTTGGTTTTCCCCTGCCAGTTATTCTACCAGTGCTCCATTTTCTCAACTATCTTCCTGGACTGGTACAGTGTGCCCATCCATATACCAAGTTCGAAAGGACTTAGTGTCACCCCACCACAGTGGGAGTAATAATAACATTATAAGGGAAACACGTTTTGTCATAGAAGAACTTTTAAGTGTGATATGTTTTATAACGTTAAGATAAAAAATTAAAATAAACACGTAGTGTTTATGATATATTTTTAAGAAACATTGGATCTGGTGTCCTGTGTGGAGGCCCTGCAAGTTGTAGAAGGTGACGAAAAGGGAATCTGGCGCCCGGGTTTATAACTGGGCTGCCCTGTCACTGGGTGATATAAATACAGAGACCTGGTTCTCCAGATTGGCGGTTGGCTGCATGACTGACGACCTTGCTCTGTAAAACTATTTCTGTTGCAAAATATAAAGAAGTGAAAACTGGATGGTCCGAATCACAGCACAATAGACAAGTCTGGCAGAATTTTCTAGGGAAGGCTCCAAAAAGGGCTGTTTTGCCAGTGGTGATGGTGGTGATGATGATTGTAATTGGTAATGAATATGAGCTGCTTTGTATGAATATACATGTATTTTCTTGCTTACTCCTCCATAAGGGGCATGCAGTAGCTTAGTTGGTTGAGGAACTATGCTACAAGGCGGATGGTTGTGGGTTTGATTTCCGATGAGGTCATTGGATTTTTTCAGTTTACTTAATCCTTGCAGCCTCACTTTGGCCCTGGGGTCGACTCAGCCTCTAACAGAAATGACTACCAGGAATCTTCCTGTGGGGGGTAAAGGGTGGCCAGTATGGAAAGTTGACAACCTCACCGCCATCTGTGAGCCAGATGTCTAGAAAATGTGGGAGCCTCAACATCTCACAACCCCACGGGCCTCCACGGCCTGTTACAGGGATAGCTTTACCTTTACTCCTCCATAAGCTTGAGGCTGGAGCTCTCTGAATCATTTAGACCTTACCTCACTAGTGCCGAGTATAGTGACATTAATCAGTGTCACTTTCATGCCAAGATATTGCTAGTTTATGGTAAAAATCCCTGTAAGACTTCTGTATTACAAAATTGGACCTATGGTGATAAACTTAGGTGGTAATTAACTCTGTTGAGTTGAGTCCTTCTGAAGAAGCTAACAGTTTTTTAGCTACTCAAAAATTTCCATCATTTTATGAAACTGGAAGGTCTGTTACCATGATCACAAGGGCTGACCACTTGTCCGAATCCTGAGCCAGATGAATCTAGTTCACACCATCCCATTATATTTCTTTAGTATGCATTTTATATTCTCCCATCTATGCTAAGATCTTGCCTCTTTCATATTTTTGTAATGTTGATTTCTTTACAATAATCTAGAGTTAGGGCTTTATCTCAGTGTTTCTGTTAAACAAACACAGATCATTTTAATTACGTCATTAGTGATTGCTGCTTTATCATGTAGCTTGTACTGTACATAATTTTTATGTCCCATAAATTTCACTTCTTCTAGCCACTTCATGCAGTATAAATTAACAGGACTTGGTATTCATTTCAGAAATACACTACTGATCATTTTCAGCATGTTCTGTATAATCATATGGTGAGCTAAGGGCAGAAATAGATACAAAATAAATTGTATGCTAAAATGGCATACAAAATATCTAGATTCTAAATCAAAACATAATTGTTATCATTGAAGCATGACTACTATCAGTGATTTCGAAGATGTAATTGACTTTGCTAAAATTTATTACAATGTAACATGTCTTTCAAAAAGGAGAGAAGATAACATTTCCTGTACTAGGTACACATTGGCAATGTATACTCATTTGAAAAAGACAAGTGTTGTAAAATATGTTATGTGCCTTGTAATGTAATAAGAATATGGAATGGAATGTGATGAGTTTTATTCATAAGGAGGGCCCGGATTTTGATGACCTGAAAATAGTCCATGATTTATTTAAATTATTTAAACCTGAAAATATTTAAAAAATGACCGAAAAAATCCAGAAACATGACGTAAAATACGACCCAAAAATGTAATATGCAGGGCCCGGATTTTGATGACCTGAAAATATTAAAAAAAGACCTATAAAACGACCGAAAAAATCCAGAAAAATGACCTAAAGGAGCAAAGAAAGAACAGTTCGCTTCAACATTATTTACATTTCAGAAAATATATGAAGAAAAATTCCCTAAAATGGCCAAAAACGACAAGAAATACCCTTAAAAGTCCAAAAAATTACCCCCAAAATGAAAAAATTACTTTAAACCTAAAAATGTCAACAAAATGACAAAAAATTACCTATAAAATTTACATTTCTGTAACCAGCAGCTCATATTCGAGATTTATATATTTAAGAGCATTACATGTCATCAAATTCTGGGCCCTGTTCATAAGTATTGGTCTGAATGTGAATACTATTGCTGTGAGATGTGAGGTTCTCCTGATAGGAATGATGAAGATTACTGTCTTCTGGGATATGATCCTATGTAGTCTGGTAGGACATTTCTGCTGCTTTTGTCTTCGGTGTAGATTTTAATATGGAATGGAGATTAATAGAATATTTCTGTATCCTCTGTGGGCTCTGGTTTCTGTTACCATCTTGGTAACACAAAGTTTGAAACATGTTCATTCTCCTTTATTGTTTGTGTGTTGCATTTTTTCAAATCTAGTACCATTATGACTGCATTAAAATTCGTTTGCTAGTCCCATACTACTGTCAGATTTAAATTCCTTATTCCTGGATTATAGAAATTAAGGATCACTAAGAATGTGGCTCATGTAGGATATGTAATCAAGATTTGTGTCTTCTGGGATGCGAAGCCGTGTAGTTTTGTAGGTAGTTGGTGATGTTTTACAGGAGCCTACTGCATCTATCTTCTGCCCTAAAGACTGAGACAGAAGGTTCATCCAGAGCATTATTATGTATCTACCAAATTACATGATACCACTTCCCAGGAGACCATAATCCTTAAATTCACCACTATGTGAACCTCATATCCCATTTTTACAAAATTTGTGGTTTTAAACACTGCAAAACAAGGGGTAACTAGAAGTCATCTTCTCATTTGATCAAAAGTTTTAATGGATGTTAAAAAACTATCTTCTGTGTATACACCATGCTTAAGGTTTAACCTTTATCATGCATATGCTGCACCTGTATGACAGCATGTGTGGGTCGATCAGGATGCAGCATGCTTAGTATCTCATGATTTACAATACAGTGACCTTCATCTCTAGAATAAAATCCAGGTGGCAGTGCTGTAGAAGGGGGAGATCGAAATTCATTATCCCCGAATGATAAAGGTTATCTGTCATGTGAAAATGATCATTAGTATGAAATAACATTTCTTACATATTGAGCCTCTGGAACAACTAAGTGGCGGTTAAATTATGATGTCCTCCAGGCTCGCTCCTTGATGACTGATGATAAACAGGCTGATACTGTCCATGACCGTGCCTTGATGGTGCATATGTCTGATTATAGGGCACCGCAAAACTAGACAAACTATGAGCATTATATGAGTTACCAGCATGCGATGATGGCAAGTCTTTTATTAATTGAGGAGCATTCTTATTGGAAGAAGGGTCTCCACTCATTGCATTTCTGGAAGGTACTGAAGTCATTAGTAACATTGGCTTGACTCCACTCATGTTGTATTGAGATTTCCATTGCTGTGGTGATGACGAAATGGGCGATGTTCTGTTTGGGTTGGTGGGTGGTTGAGGAGGTGGCTGATTCGGTGATGTAATGATGTCTGGTGGAGGGTCAGAGAAACGATGACAGTCTCGAGAGTTGGACTGGTTGTTGGAAGTATTTGAGTTTTGTGATATTCCACCAGTGGGAGACTGACAAGAGTTTGTCAAATTGCTGCCTGTCCCACATTTAGGTATCTGAAATGAGTAATGTGCAATTAGAATTGGGAAACATTGCAATTGAAACATGAAAATGACACAAGATGCCTGTATGGAGAAAGATAGAAATTAAAATTTAAAGTTAGATTAGGCAGGATTAAAGAGAGCTGAGATAGTTCAATCATTATGGTAACTAGGCTATGGCTGGATGACCAGAGAATCGGGGTTTGACTCATGGTTGGGGCAAAGTTGCTTCTCCTCATAACCATGACTGAAACAACTCTCGGGCTCACCCAGCCTTTTGTCCAATGGGTACCTGGGGCTCTTTCTCTGGGGTTGTGCAGATTTGATACAGTATATAAAATATATTTAAGCATGATGTGTTTGTCAATCAATTAATAAATATTGTTGCATTTTAGTGACTAGACACAGGGTTTGGCTTACTAATTGGATTTATTGAATGCTTGTAACGTGTAACTGCAAGTGATTGTAACAGTCTCACTGATTTACACACTCTGTAGGTCACTACAACTACAGCTCACATAAAAGTCTTCTGTTTGTTTACTAGCTGTTACTAGATAGCGGCTGCTAATGATGCAACTCAAGACTGCTAGCTGCCAACTCCGACCTCCAGCTGACTATCTACTGACTGGCTTGTCTAATTGGTTCTCATTATATAATGCTGGCATGCACTGCGTAGGAAGCACTGCATCCTCTATTGTTGGGGAGCCGGGATAGTGTAGTCAGTATAGTGACTGGCTACAGGCTGGACGACTGAGGGGTTGGCTTTCAATGTGATTTATAATAACTGTGTACAGGATTGTGTGAGACAGTAAATATATACATATGCATGTGCACACAAACAAACAAGCTGGGAAGAACTAATCAGCTACTTTTCTTTCGCTACAAATTGAGGGTTGGCCTCAGCACTGACTGCATAGAAGACACAGTAACTAACAGTTACTGTATTGTTTCATGTGTATTTGTTGCCACTGGAATGTGTTTACTGAGCCATTACTTGGAAATGACCGTTTCTTCTGGCTCCACTATTCTGACTTTCAGATATAATATTACATTGCTCCCTTCTTAAGTCTGCTCAGCAATTTGAGAGGCTGTAATTTTGGTATTACTGACAGGAGGAATTTATGAAGTATGCCACTGAGATGGGCTCAGGTGCCATGATATACATATCAAGTTACAAGATTGTTGTATACATTCAAACGTCACTGGGGGGGGGGTGATACACATACAGACACACAGGCAGCAAAGGTGATCTCATAAATCACTTTTATCTTTTCAAAATAAGGAAAGTAGGCTAACAAACACATGAACAAACAAACACACACTTACAGTGATACAGTTTAAAACTCATAACTACAATGTAAATATGGTGACACCTAACCTGAGGCCGCAAGAGCTGAAGATTGCGATGCCCTCTTCGTAGTGTACCTGCTGGGGTGTGGGGTACTGATGCAGATGGTGGTGGAGGGTTATTAGGAGGAAGAGAGTTACCAGGTGTAGGCTGCTGACTATCACAATGTCCCAGTTCTGACATGGCTTTCCGGCTACGTCCACTGCCACTGCAGTTGTTTGAGGATTGTGGCAGACCCACTAAAGGCAATATAAAATTAGAAAATGTATATTGGTTGATATGAATTTTATAAAATAATGGTTCATGACAATTGAATATTAACCCTAGAAATGTCACCTATCTACAATTTCTACCTTTACAAAAATTGCTGTAGGTGACAGCATGTGATGTAATATTAGCATTTGATCTGAACTTTGTAATCCAGAGACATTTGGATGGAATCTTTTCCACATATTTGAAATTCTTAGAGCGTTTCTATTTATTGTTTTTTCATGAAAGAAAAGCTCTGACAACTTCAAGTAGCAGCTTGGCACTTCCAGAATTCAAAACTGGCACTGCTATAGGTAAGCAATAAGAGCAGGATGTTGAAGTTACTGCATTATAATCATGGCTGTAAGCACTCATTACGGTGAAAAAATAGTAAACAACTCATTTAGTAACAGGATTTTTCTGTATAAAACAGTACTAAACCATCAGTACATGACATAATGCTTGTTACAGTGAAACTTTCTTTCTGGGGGGTGCCACTAAAATGTCATTGTACTTATTGTCACCTGAATGTTGCCCATAATCATTGCAGTGTCCACTAAAGAAGTAAGAATCTGAGTAGACGTTCCTCCCGAAGAAACATGCTGAATTGGAAGGATATGGTGCCTCATCTCTATCATTGGTTGGTTGACAAATCTGTACCCAACCCTAAAAAGAGAAATACATTTATTATAACTTATTTAATAATGGATTTATAGATATATTGCGATTTTAAGGTTAACATACACGTACAGACAATAAAATAAATATGTATAGCTTCTGAGATTTTCGCAGCAGTGACTCTTTAGATTGTGGTCTTGTGGGATGTGATGCCATGTAGTCTTGTAGGCAGATAATGATGATTTAGAGGACCATGTTGCCTCTGTCTTCAGAGAGGATGTATCAAGTAAGAAGAACAAAGGTGTTCACCTTTACATACAATCTGGTGAAGTTCTCAAATTGGGCTTGATGCCAAGGCAACACATACTAGCTCAGTGAGCCATTCATACTGCATCCTGATCCTGACAACCTATGCTTCAACCTGGAGAATGGAGGCCACATGTGCCTCTGTAGCATCATTACTTGCCTACAGGACTACATTCTGTTACACCGCAGAAGACAGAATGGGAATACACATATATTCTGAATAACATTTATTTCTGTAACATAAAAATGAGCGTGATTTTTCTTGAGGGCATGATGTAGGTGTGTACAGGTTGTTGAGGTGTCTGAGGCCATAGCAAGAGGTGACTGTGAACTGTATATAAAAAACTAAACTCCATGGCTTGAGTCCACAAGCAAACTATACTGACTGAGTGACTGCTACTTGTTGGCGAAGTTAATGTCAACTTTAGCAGATAGAGTGTGTCGCATGGTCAGTGCAATTAATTCCTACGGTCATTAATTTTGGTTTTCTAGACTGGAGTGAACTGTATAAACTATATATAAGGTTGAAGAAAGCAGTCTTCTGGGATGTGGCACCATGTAGATGTGGTGTTGACCGACATTTTGGAGGAACGTATCACCTCCATCTTCAGGGTAGAAGGAAAAATAAGAAAATCCACAAGGGAAGAGACAGTGAGAACAGGTGCAAGCAGACTAATGTTGGAAATAAACTCAGCTATATGAGAGGAGGGAAGGAAGGGACAAGTCTACGTGGGAAATCAGTGGCGAGGGAGAGGGGAAGGGTCTGGGACAGGAGCANGCTGTCCCAGCACATCAAATCAGTGGGTCTGCCTCCAAACAAATTATCCAGTTTTCTCCGGCTGGTCAAAGATAGCCTGGGACTAAGGACACAGGGTGTATACAGTATCTCATGTGAGAGCGGCAAAGTCTATATTGGGCAGAAGGGCCCCTCCATGGACATGAGGTTGAAGGAGCATCAACGGCACATCTGTCTCGAACATCCGGACAAGTCAGCTGTAGCTCNCAATAACAAGACTCTAACTGTCAAACAGTAATAAATATCTGGTCATAAGCCCACATGGGGCTCAACACCAAGACTGACTGACTGACTGACCACCAGTCACAATGTGAATTTGACTCTGAACACCCCCCTGGGACATGACGCCAGATCCACAAGGCCACACAGTCCAAGACTGACTCACATAGCAACCCCCTCCCCCAAGCTTAAGGGTTAATGCCCTCCCATTAACCTTGCCTTTCTCCCTTGACACAATATCCTATACCTGCTCAAACCTTGCTATTGTCCCAGACCCTTCTCCTCTCCCTCGCCACTGATTTCCCATGTAGACTTGTCTCTTCCTTCCCTGCTCTCATATAGCTGAGTTTATTTCCAACATTAGTTTGCTTGCACCTGTTCTCACTGTCTCTTCGCTTGTGGATTTTCTTATTTTTCCTTCTACCCTGAAGATGGAGGTAACACATTCCTCCGAAACGTCGGTTAACACCACATCTACACGGTGCCACATCCCAGAAGACTGCTTTCTTCATAGTCACCACCGTGAAAACCTCAAATCTTATGTATATAAGGTTGTAAAAATACAGTGAACCCTCTTTATAACAGACCTAGCTATAATGGACAAAAATTGGCTGTGTATAATTGTGAATTCTTAGAGATAATGAGTCATTAAGAAGGTTTTGTGTTTAGAAGACTATTTTAAATAAAAAAGAACTCCAATATAAAAACCTTTATGCAATCACAGTGTTTCTGTGTTTATTGTGTGTACTGGCTATGTATCCTATGGTGTACTTCCGTGTATACTCCTCCACTCGGTTATAGCAGACATTGGCAATAACAGACTCTGTCCCCCTGTTAGTCTGTTATAATGAGGGTTAACTGAATGTTCATAGTTTTTGCTAGAATTGTATGATTTCGGGTTCTGAATTCCTGTAAGTTTATTCCTGACCCATATTTGAAGGTACAAGTTAATGAGATGTTTATTGAATTCACAGAAAGAACAGCATAGCATAACATTTCACAAATGGGAACAGCCGATTTCATATATTTTTTTTTTGAACTGAAAATATGAAATACTCGTAAGAAGTGAATCTTATATACAACAGGCAAATCACTTTGATGGTATGTGTGCACTTACCAGACCGTTGAGATGGTGACGTGAGCTACCAACTAGCGTTGTAGTAGCATATGGTGCAGGAGAACTGGAGCCATCACTACTGCCAGGTCCGCCACACCTCTCATCACAACCGCGATGCCCCTGGAATGTAGTGAGTGCTGCCATGTGATTCGGGTCCACTTCTGCGTAAGCAGGCATCGCATCACTGCCTGGGGTGTTGATGCCTGAGCCTGAGCCAGCCTGTTTCAGCATCCCTGTTTCAGCATAGTCATTGAGTGTTGCAGTGACTATGCTGCCATTGTGGAGTAGTCGGGACTCAGAGAGACTTCGTGTGTCCTTGTCACTGTTCTCTGAGTTACGCCAACAGTTTGGTCTATTCTCAATCCACAGTGATGAATCCTGAGGCAGTGAGTGAGGCGCTGGCATTGTTAGAGGGTGCGGTAAGCCAGCTGCTGCTTTCAGGCTTAGAGGGGTTGCTAGAACTCCACCATTAGAACAGGAATCTGAAAATACGAAATTTGTACTTAGCTCAGAAACTGTGCTGAGATTGTTTGAACTTAATGGTAAAAAAGTAAAAGGTAAAGCTCTCCCTGTAACAGGCCATGGAGGCCCATATGGTGGTGAGACATCGAGGCTTCCGTATCTTTTCTCGACAGTTGGTTCACAGATGGCAGTGAGGTTGTCAGCCCTATATGCCAGCTGCCCTTTACCCCCAGGAAGATTCCTGGTACTTATTTCTGTTAAAGTCTGAGTTGACCCCAGGGCCATAGTGCAGCTGGAAGGATTAGGTCGTTTGAAAAATCCAATGACCTCATTGGGACTCAAACCCGTGACTTTCCAGGCAACTGGGTTGGTGTAATTGTAACACACTTGACTTGCACAGGGAGAAGCTCAGTTCTAATCTCAGGTGGTACATGGGCTCTTCTGACAGGTCTTTCGTGGTTTTTGTCAGTCCTTCCTTCCAGGAAGATGCAAGGATAGTATCTGATTAGGCCATGACCACTTCTTTCTAAATCCTTTCCAGTTCATCACTCATCTATCATCTTACTATTCAACACTATATAGTCTAGCACTGAAAGTGTTTTAAAATAATTTTAGAATCTGTTATTATGCAGCTGGATGAATGTTGAAAACTATTTTGTAATTTTTTAAATTTCTGTTAACATGATATTGATTTTATTAATATTTCATAGTAGTCTGGATTCCATATAGAAATATGAATCAACTGAAATACTGTAAATCAAAATATTGTCCTCTATTTTATGAATTATGGATTGTGATATTAAAATATCAGTGTCACACTTATTAAGTTATGAGACTGTATACTATGTATTTATAATATTGTGATGTGCTGCCTGAAAGCCAGTCTATAAGACATCCATCACCATGAGAAAGCATGCTACCTAGGATACCATTTGAAGCACATGAGAAAGTAACACTGAGCTTCCACCATTACAAAGAGGCTAGTAATATCTAAGAAACGAATTGTTTGAGGCAGAAAGATGTATTTCCGCGGCAACAAGAGATTCATTTGCGCAGCAGCAGGCGAAACTAAACCCTTCGACAAGGTGTTCCCTATTCAGCCCCAGTGCAGGATATAACAGTCCTACTTCGGCAAGAGACCAGTTAGTTTGTATCTGACAGGAGACCAGTTACTTCGTATCTGACGAGAGCTAAGGACAGTTGAGCTCCAAGCAGAGCAGAAGACAGGTCACCAAGATTAGCGGTGCGAGAATGTATAACATTGAAGAGGAAACATCCGAGGATGTTACAAGTGTGAATAATTTTATTTGTGCATGTAAAAAGTGAGTGTCCAATAAATATATTCATTGAAGTCTGAGACCCACAAAATTTCTTGTTGCATTGCCTAGGAAACATGGAACAATTTGAATTTCAATTTTTTTGAGAAGTTAGAATTTAAATTTTTTGTAATAAAGTTACAAGAGAAACAACTGCAATTGTTTGGGCCTTGTAGAAGAAATGGATATAATGACAGGGAGAAGGAAAGAGACCTATGGGACAACCCAAAACAAAGTTTACACATGTACAGGATGACATCAGGAAGAGAGGAAAGATCTGGCAAGAAGTTAAAAGAGAAAGTTGTGGGAAGAAAGAAGAGATTGGAGAGTGTTTCTGTCCATTTACCTGTGCCAAACATATGACATGCTAGAAGAAGAAGAAGAAATGTTTACCACGTATATTAGAGAGCGTTGATTTCTTGGTAAGGAGCTGTCTTCGCCGGACCAGCAGCATGGCAGCAAACAGAAGCACCATTACTGCCACCATACTCCCTAAGAGGGCTATGAACCACGTTTCTGTGAGGAAGTCACTTCCAGTAAGGCCTGGTGTGAGGCTGGGTTCATGACCAATGGGTTGTCTGCAATGAAAAATGAAGTGTTTGATTCAAGGCATGAAAGATCGATGGACACTGCCATAACATTCATATATATGTGGTCTAAGCAGGATTGCCTGTAACTTCAACTTTGGGAATACACTGCATGGAGTTTCTAAGGGGTTCTGACATTTATGCAAACATGGTAATTACCATGTTCGAGTTTAGTGTCTTTGGGGGGTTTTGATGTCATTATATAGGTCTGGCAGTGCATGATGAGAGGAAGGTGGATCTGTGATTGGATGAACCATAGAGCACATATTGTCTCATCAATTGGATCAACCATCTCATTTGTAAGAGTACTAATATTCATGCTTATCATATGAGAAAATTTAAGAACTGAATGACCAGTTTTATTTGATGTGACAAAGACTTATAAAACATGCAGTTTAAAATGTTTGTCAGGTTATGAATATTTCACTGCAAAAAATCTGAAGATTACTTTACACTGTTGTATTTCTATTGGTTTTTGTATTGTGTCATAAAGTGAAAATTTGTATCATGTTTCAGCTTTTAAAATGAAATAATTTTCCATTTGTGCTATTCTGCAAAGTTCCATTTTATTTGGTACATGGTCATTCATGCATTTCTTCAAGAGGTTGCTGCGTAGGATTTGCTGAAATAAAAAGTGTACATTCCATTAAGTATTTTCACTGTTTATTTATTTTAAGATAACTTATTTCTGTTAAAATAGTTATAAAGAGTGTACTACAATTTCATATACAGTCAACTCTCGATTATCCGGGGGCGGATTAACCGGTTTGCGGCTTAACCGGGGCTTTTTTTTTTAAGTTTATATGTTGTTTAATATTCATTCACTTTTGTTTCACATGGTGAGTTTAACACTATTTTCGCACTAGTGTGAACCGAGCTCTGCATTATTTCGTCCCGTTATGCGAACACAATGTTCTAGGGTGGGGGTGAAAGAATGCAAGAATTTTTGGAAAGTTTCAAGGACAAATACACCGCCCCAGGTTATTTAACGGTACCATCTCAGTGTGAGAGTGCATTGTGAAAGTAAGTATCAGTTTCTTAATATAGATCTTCAAGTGCGTTAGCAAAATGTCGGGGTTTAAAAGGAAGCGTGTTGTGTTAAGTATTCAACAGAAACTTGAAATTATCAATCAGCTGGAAAAAGGAGCTGTAGTTAAACAATTAGCAATGCAATACGGTATTGGAGAACAAACTGTTCGTGATTTGAAAAAACAAAAGAATGAGTTAATTTCCTTTGCTTCGTCTTCTAATTCAAGCGGAATGAAGAAGAGAAAAACCATGAAGAAATCAACATACGATGATCTCGACAAAGCGATGCTGACCTGGTTTAATCAACTAAGGGCACAGGGAACAACAATAACAGGACCAGTTTGTGCTAAACAAGCTAAATATTTTTTCGAAGCACTTGAACTAGAAGGGAGTTTTGACGCTTCTTCCGGTTGGCTAACACGTTTCAAGCAGCGTCATGGAATACGAGAAATCAGTATTCAAGGTGAGAAATTGTCAGGGGACTTGTCAGCATCAGATCAATTTTGCACCAATTTTGATAGTTTTGTGAAAAGTGAAAATCTGCTGCCAGAACAAATCTATAATGCCGATGAAACGGGTCTTTATTGGAAATGCTTGCCAACCAGAACATTGGCATTTCAAAATGAAAGACAGGCTCCAGGTCACAAATCCAGTAAGGAGAGATTGACAGTCTTGTGCTGTTCTAATGCATCAGGAACACACAAACTAATACCAGTAGTTATCGGCAAAGCGAAAAGACCACGCTCTTTTAAAGGAACAGTAGCTTCAAGTCTGCCTATCCATTATTTTAACCAGAAAGTAGCTTGGATGAATAGAGCGATATTTAAAGAATGGTTTGATTTTAAATTCGTGCCTCAAGTTCGTGACCATCTAAAATCCCAAGGCCTACCTGAGAAAGCTGTGCTCCTCATTGACAATGCGCCCTCACATCCTAACGAAAGTCTCCTGAGGTCAGATGATGGAAATATTTTTGTGAAATATTTTCCCGCTAATGTTACCGCACTTATCCAACCAATGGATCAAGGAGTTATCTCAAGTATGAAGAGAATCTACAGATCAAATTTGCTACAAAAGTACATCGATGAAGGCAATGATCTGACGTGTTTCTGGAAGTCCTTTTCAGTATTAGATGCCATATACGAGATTTCAACAGCGTGGGATACAGTAAAGCCATCTGTATTGAAAAATTCATGGAAGAAACTGATGCCTTTCATCACTAATGAAGATGACGAAATCCATGGATTCACTGGATTCAGTGAAAATGAGATAGCCATAAAATTGACAAAAGTGGCTAACCAAGTTCATGGTGGTGAAGAAGTCAACGAGGAAAATATAAGAGAGTGGTTTAACTGTGACTCGTGTGAACCGGGCTTCGAAATGTTAAGCAGTGACGAAATCGTAACTTCAATGGGGGTGCAGCCAGAAGAGCGGGAAGAAAGTGAGAATGAGGAAGAGGTGGACAGTGTTGCCAGTAAGAAAGTATCACATGGTGCTGCGCTTAATCATTTGGAATCCTTACTAGACTATCTTGAGAGTGAAGAGGACAGTTTATTAAGTGACAAGCTAATATTACGTAGGCTTCGTACGGATATCCGTAAAAAGGAAAATGCCGCGAAAAAGCAAAAGACAGTATTAAATTATTTTAAGTGTTAAGTGTGACCGTAAAAAGTGCTGGATGTTGTTGAACAGTGATTGAAATAACTAATTCATACTGAGTGTAATGTAAAGAAAGTATTAAATAGGCCATGAGATGACATAGAAATGAGGATGAATAAATTTAAATACAGGTAGGTCTATAGTATTATGAAGGTATTAAAAGGTAAAAGGTAAAGTTGTTCCTCTGCTCAACGAATTAAGCCCTACGCCATTAAGGCGTGTGGGGGAGTGGATGTATAGATCCAAATTTTCTTGACCTCGGCACTAGTTGGAGGTGAGTGGTCAGCTTCACGCCCCGGCCGCTTTACCCCCGGGGAAAGAGCCCCCGGTACCCATTGGATAGGAGGTTGGATGGACCCCAGAGCCGGTCTGGACGATTTGGAGAAGTTAAAATTCTTGACCCTACCGGGACTCGAACTCCGACCCTTCACAGTCGTCCAGCCCGTATAATAAAATTTGGCTTAACCGGGTTTTCGATTAACCGTGACTTCCATCCCCACCATTAGCCCGGATAATCGAGAGTTGACTGTATATGATATTCCAAAGATAGTCTATTTTAATGCATGAATACAGTTTTCTTCATTCATTCAATCTCATGAGAATTGTGTTCTAGATGTTACAAAAATTGTGTGTGTGTGTGTGTGTGTGAGTGTGTGAGTCGAAGATCCTAGGGGTGTTAGATGTAAATAACAATCAGGAGCAACAAAATTAATTTCATAAATTGCAGTGCAGGTTTTTCTGCATAGGCTCACTGGTTATCTGTGAAAACTGTAGCTAAAGATGGTGACTGTAAAATTCTCATGTTGAATTTGTATTTGACATTTCACTAGATACAGGTAATGTGATATATACCTATGATGGTGATCTTTTAGCAGAAGTCTTGAGGTAGGGTCGAGCCTCAAGGTTGCTGGGATGCTGGGTGGACCAGGGCCAGCTCTTGTGGCAGCAGAGGCACTCACAGTGTATGTCACTCCTGCTGTCAGGTTAGTTAGCAGCAGGGATGGGGTAGCAGCATTTACTGTTACATTTGTCAGTATTCTGCTCGAAGCATTACTGCTGCCTGCACCTCCTCGAACCACCACCTGTTAAGTTGGAGTGAGATTTGATATTGTAAAAAGAAATTATGAGAAGTAAATATTTTTTTCGTGGTATGAGGCTTGAGGTTCTCATGGCATTAAATATGAAGTCTTCACTGTTCTGGGCTTTGACACCATGTAGTGTGATAGATGTTTAGCAATGTTTTGGAGCAATGTTCTGCCTCCATCTTCAGAGCAGAACTGGAAAGTGGAGACAGTAGGTTCCTTTTAAATATTGGTTAAAAACTATCAGACTACATGGGTCACATCCCAGAAGACTGAAGACTTAATTTCGTCACAAATTTTAGCCATATCATTTAGGAGCTATCCAGTTCATCTTATCTGAAGTATATGTATCGCATTCTTCGATATATTGTTGATTTCTACATCACTGCTCTCAAATTTCTGTCACAGCAAAGATTTGAGGTTCTCACATCAGAGATTATGAAGAGTTCTATCGTCTAGGATATAACATCATATAGTCTGTTGAAAGCCAACCAAATATTTTGGAGGAACATGTCGCCTCTATTTTCAGGGTTGAAGAATAAGCCAAGCCAGAAACTAGCATGAAGCAGACACCAAGCTGTTGACCTTCAACAAATTACATGGCTTTATATCCCAGAAGACAGAACCTGTGTGTGAGTGTAGCTTTGAGTCCATTTGTTTCAAGAGCTGGATCCCCCCCTGCCCGAAGATAGTATTAAGGTAAAAGGTCAAAGGTAAAACTATCCTTGTTAACAGGCTCTGAAGGCCCATAAGGTTGTGAGGTGTCGAGGCTCCCACATTTTCTCTAGACAGTCGGCTCACAGATGGCGGTGAGGTTGTCAGCCTTATGCACTGGCTGCCCTTTACCCCAGATTCCTGGTACTCATTTCTGTTAAGAGGCTGAGCTGGCCCAAGAGCCATAGTGCGGCTGGAAGGATGAGGTAAATTGAAAAAAGTCCACCTCATTGGCACTCAAACCCACAGCTTTCTTGCTTGTAACATAGTGCCTCAACCAACTATGCAACCGAGTGCCCCTGCCAAAAGATAGTGCATCATTGAGATTCAGTATCATTCTAAATTTCATAAAAGATAAAGTTGTCCATATGTTCCATTAATTAACCCTTACACTGCTGCGGTCGACATATGTTGATCTCTGAAAAACATGGCATCCTTCTGTGATCGACAAAACCCGTATTGCAAATTTAGAGTTTCAAATCTCAGGTTTCTTTTCACCAATCTCATTCAAACTTGGTGGGTGCATAGAGTCATCTATTGGGAACATAATGGAGCATCATTCATGTCAATGGCCGCATTCTTCTTCCCTCTAGCTTAAGAAATGTAAAAGGTTGCATCTGCAGCGTGAGGCACACACTCTGTGGTCATGTGACGCAGGTATTTCACAAGGCTAGTAAAAATAGTTTTAAATAAAGTTGTGGACTTTGGTCAACATGTGACATAGTGATAAGACTAGGATAGTGAATTATGTACTTTTTTGCCATCTTGGGACAACCCTGATTTAACTGGATTTTTCACCTGTGAAAAATACTGAATAATTTAACATTTTTGCAACTTCTGATGCCTGTTCCCTGTCTGAGGTAAGATTAGTTACAATTTATCACAAATTTTCATACTTTGCACTTAAATTATTTATAAAAGATTTATTCAAAAATAATTCACTGCTAGTATGTTACTTAACATACTAGCAGTGAAAGGGTTAAGCACTGTGCCGTGAAGATGTGTGGTGGAGTGAATGCATAAAAAGATTCATGTATTCTTAACCTTGGCACTAGATGGAAGTCAGTGGTTAGCTTAATGTCCTGGCTAGTTTATCCCCAGGGAATGAGCTGCTGGTACTCACTGGGTAGGGAGCTGGGTGGACCCTAGAATCAGTCTGCATAAAAGTCTCTAACTCCTTCCAGAAATCAAATCCCATCCCCTCTGCTGTGTAGCACTTAGCTACTCACTATATTGACTGAACTATTTCAGCTTCACCCTGTGTAATTTATGTAATTACAAAAGAGAGGAAAAAGTGACAAGATTCAAAAGTAGATGGAAGGACCAATTTTGAAACTTTTGAATACCAGAATGGACTTGTAGCACTGAATCCTTAGGAAGGCAATTTCACTATTTTTTTTTTCCCACAGCATGATTTAATTTAAGAATTCTAATGCTGCCTTTAATTTCTGCACATATTTCAATTCATTTTATCATTATGTTGAATGTATACCTGTGACAGTGAGTACTTCTCTTCAGGTTTCAGAAAGTAACAGTAAAAACTAAATCAAATTTCAACAGAAAAACAATCCTGGCATTTCTTCTATATTATTTAATGAAGTTCTTCTGCTACTTGATCTTATAAGCAGTTTTACTGTAGAGTGCAAACACATTTAAATTTCATTACACCACGATTTGAGCTTATCACCTGGTAGTTCCTCAGAATTCCATTGTGTGAGTTTGGTGGGGGTGGTTTCCATTTCAGATAGACAGCAGATGAATTCAGTAATATTGCTTCCATTTGAGTTGGAGGTTCAGATGGTACTGGAATATGAAAAACACAGTATGCAACAATTTCTATTTTTTATATATTGTTTCTTCAGAGGAATGTGATTGAAAGTTTAAAAATTGAAAGAAGAAACTACGTTTTTAAGAACAAAAAATACAAATGAATTATCTTTTCAATATTATATTTAAGCATCCTGTCACACTCTACACAATATATGACACAAACTCTGTCCTAAGTGCAACAATTTATTGTAGTTCTTTCATATTCCTTTCTTCTACACTACGTGTTTCGGCCGTAAATGGCCATCATCAGGTGTATACTCTCATGTGTAGCAGTGTAGCAGCTACGTGAGAGTATACACCTGATGATAGACATTTACGGCCGAAACATGTAGTGCAGAAGAAAGGAAGACGAAAGAACTACAATAAATTGTTGCACTTAGGATGGAGTTTGTGTCATATATTGAATTATCTTTTATTGAAAATATTTAATTTTAACATTTAAGACATGAATTCATAAACAAAATTTAATTCAATCCATTTCAATTCACTCATTCTCATATAAATTCATAATATTAGATCTGGCCCACAAAAACTAATTATGAATTGTGTTGAAGATCTGAAGCTTTCACAGTGAATACATGCAATTAATTCTTCTTGGGCAGTTAGCCATGTCAAAATGGAATGGATTTTCTGATGTATTTTAACATTTAATATCTTCCCTGTCTTACAGACTGTCATTCAAAGCTTATAGAGTTGGAAAGAAAACAGCTGTAAATTTTAAGCTATGTAGTAAATTAATTTCTCTTACCACCTTCTAATGTCCTTGCCATTCTAGAGTTAGAAGGTCGTCCATCAACAGTTTTGTGGAAGGGGATAAGAAAGAACTCATAACGAGTGTATTTGGCCAGGCCAGTGACTTGAAAGCCAGATGCCCCACCAGCATGAAGTACAGTCAACATGTTGTAGGCATCTGGTGAACGAGCACCATCCAGTGGACGGGAATAGATGTAGAAACCTTCTACATATTCCGAATTGAAGATCTGTAATATAATATCATCAGTGGACTAATGCATCCTCATGGACTTGAACAAAGGCTGCCTACAAATATTGTTAGCTTTTAAATTTTGGGTCTCTGGGTTGTGATACTATGTAGTCTTGTAGGTGGATGCCAATGTTTTAGAGAAACATGCTGCGTCTAACTTCAGGTCTCCAATCTTGAAAATGGAGGCACCATGTTCCTCTGAAGTGTCAGTATCCATGTACAAGACTATATGATGTCACAATCCAGGAGACTAGAATCTAAAAATTTACTGCCCTGAGCATATAAAATTTACTCTGTTGACTTATCACATCATCATCATCATCATCATCATCATCATCATCATCATCATCATCA